TTGAAATTTTCTGTTCAGCTCTTGTACCTCCTCATTTCTTCCATTTGCTTTAGCATCTCTATGCTAGAGAGCAAGTTTCAGTGTCTCTTGTGACATCCATTTTGACGTTTTCCTTCTTTCTTGCCTTCTTAATGACGTTTTGCTTTCTTCATATATGATGTTCTTGATGTCATCCCACAACTTTTCTGGTCTTCGGTCTTTAGTGCTTAAATATATACATACAGGAATATATACCTGCAGCTTTACTTAAGGTCCCTCAAGGCTTACTGTGGTGCTCCACAAGGCATTGACTACACTAGACTGAAAGACTCTCAAGAATGCATGATATTTGACCATTTTCTTCATATTTCCAATTTCTAGCATCCTGCCAGGCAGACAATAAGCAATCAAAAAAAGTTAAATGAATGAATGGCAGGTGAAATTATGAGTAAGTTTTGCCCAGAAAGGGACTTTTCTAGGTTGTGTATTATCACTTAAAGAACTTGGTGAATAAGATTGAAAGTGTGAATATATTGTGTGGTAGTGGTATTGTTGGTGAGCCTTGGAGTCACTTCCGACTAGTAACAACACTATATAGGATTTCTGAGGTTATAAATCTTGACCAGAGCAGAAAGACTCAACTCTTTCCCACCGAATGACTGGTAGTTTCAAACAGCTGACCTTGAGGTTAGCAGCCAGACTTGTAACCACTATGTTACCAGAGCTCCTTATGTATTGTGCGGATGTTAAAAATTTACAAGTACTGGAACAGTAATTATGGATTTTTCCCAAAAATAATAATTCAAACTCAGTTACACTGCACATTAATCTGGTATCTTTTAAATAATCCTGTGAAATTTTTAAAAATTCTATAAATGAAAATGAAAGCCTCATTTGTATTTATAGTACTCAATCGCATTAATTACTCTTATTTTTTAATTCAACTAAAAGATATAAAGGTAGTCCCAGACTTAAGACTTGTTAGAGTGATGACTAATGCACTTAGAATTGTACTTTGTGTGTGTCCGTTTTATCTTTAGTAGTATGTACAGCACAGAATATAATTTATGATGTTATCTTTCTCAGTTGTTCATGGTTTTGGTACTGTTCGGTTCTCAGTGTTATGGTTTACTATTCAAAACCCTGCCAGATAGTATGTTATGGTCTGTTCTACAATGAAGTCAAGTCCTGAGTAGTAACTGATAGAAAATGCCCCAGGACATTCTCCTCACAAAGATGATCTAAATCAAGATGTGAAAGTAGTGTATCCACTTCCCAGTGTGACACCTGTGATTCAGCCTATGGATAAAGGTGCACTTGCCACCTTCAAGTTCTACTACCTACAGTATTTATACTAGCAAGTTCTATAACAGATGGAGACATAATAACATTATGTGATACCTGAAAGAATTGTAGTATTCTTCAATATGTCTGGAATATTTTAACTTCTGAAGAGGAATTCTAGAGACTACAGGGGAAAAGGCTGAGCTATATGAACATGTGACAAACTTTTGATCAGGACATTAGGATGTAAGAGATAGAGGGGAAATCTCCCAAATGGTAAGAATTTTGAAAGGTACTGGTTCGTCCTGGCAACACATCCAAAGTACAAGAAACAAAGTCTCCCATGCTGGCTTCTGAGGAGCACTCTGGCTGTACTTCTTCCAAGACAGAATTGTTTGTTCTTCTGACAGTCCACTCTACTTTCAGTGTTCTTTGTCAACATCATAATTCAAATGCCTTGATTCTTTATTCATTGTCCAAATTCTGTATGCATAGGAGGCTATTAAAAATGCCATGGCTTGGATCACGCTAACCT